AGCCCGGATGTTTTGGCTCGATCTGTATGAAGTTGAAGGGCACATCGACCACGATGACCATGTCGTACTCGTCGGGCTTGTTGATGCGCAGTCTATCGAAATGGCTTCCTGCGAACTTTACCTGTAGACCAGAATTAAGAAGTTAATTAATATTAAGTATAATATAAGAAAGAGCATGGTACTTTTTAATTTCGCAACGTTCAAGGTAAGTTAATCCGTTTTACGGTCAAACCCTGCCGCCCGACATTGGATTTACATGTCCAAATAAATTCTTATCTGAGATATTTGTATTTGATTGTAATAATAAATAAAATATGCAGACTAGTTTTGTTTTTGTTTAAACAACTTTAAATTTACCAGAAGTTGACGTAGAGAACGTACCTCACTTGAATACTTGTCAAAATAGGGATCCACCTCCTTCATAGCTTTATGTATTTTGTAGAAAATCTGTGTAAAAACTTCGTAGTAGTTATGGCAGTCCTCTTTTTTGAGTGCAATGTGCCTGACGTAGATATCTGCGAGCACCGCGTCGAGGTTGCGCAGCAACGGCGACGCCGGCACCGACGACGATGATATCATTCTGTTGTTGCATAAATAATATTGTCACACAAAACGCAACAGACACACGGCCTGCCTTTATCAACTGGATTCTCAGTCTTTGATAAATCGTATTACATATATTGTAAATATGTATAATATTATACTTATGTATACTATGTTATTTGACAATCTCAGTATTAATAGATATATTTAATGTCTTATCAAATCACATGCGTTGACTACACAAACATATATTATGGAGGGGTAAGTTTTGTATTTTTGTATAATATATCTTTATCAAATAAACTCAAAAACTCGGCGGATTAAGGCAGCTTGCTTGTTTATCACCTTATATTTAACAAAAAACCAATGAGACTGATTTTACTAATTCTGACTCCTTTTAACTGTAGGTACTGGTAGGTGCATTATTTCTAGTAACATTCACATAAAATTATTTAGAATTTGAAACTCTTACCTGTCAATTACGCATTCAACCAACGCCATTGTAATTTGTAATGAATATCTGAAACAATATTATATTTATGGATACACTACAAAAGTTTTAAGGAAATTCACCTTATATGCATAAAATGTTATTTTAATTTTGTTTAAAGTAATACTAACAACATCTTTGGGTCAGAAACTTACGAAAAATTAATTTGTTTTGGTCTAAGAATTTGCTGTAAATAAAAATATCTGAAATAATTATCTTCATACATGCTCTAATTATAATTACGAAAATCAGAGATTCACATTAATTAAAATAGACAAAAACATTATTTTATCTTAACAAATAATAATAACTCAGGTACAAAGCGAATAAGTAACAAGCATATTTACAACTGTAGCACTTTTTAAGGTTACAAACAGTTCCAAAAACTTACATGTCTAAAATTCCTGACGACTTGTTTTTAGACTTGCAGAATACGTTTT